CCATGCTAAAATTATCCCGGATGTGTAAATAAATACAGTGCAATTGCATAGACTGAGAAAATGACTGATTTTGTCTTGCATTACGTCCTCAACAAAAGGAGAGCTGTATTCCTAATATATATATAAAATGTTTATACATACATATATATATATATATATATATATAAAAAAAAAAATAAAAAATAAAAAAAAAAATATATATATATATATATATATATATATATATATATATATATATATAAAAGAAAAAATTAAGCAGATTTAGTAGTGGAAGGAATCGGTTTAGTCCTCTAAATAACAATGTCTGTAGCAGGCATGGGCTGGCATTAGTTTCTGACGGTTAGATAAACTTGGATAAAATATCACGGTATCACTGTATCATCTAAAACAAGCTGTTTAAATATCTGGGTAAAAAAAAAAAACGTTTTCCCCCTCATTGAACCCAATACATTTTATTTTAGGAAACATGATATTTGGGTACTGTAAACATGCCAGGCTAAATTATTCAAATGAATCATTGACGTCTGCTATGTTCATTTGTTTCTAAAACACAGATTGCTTAACAACACAATAAAAACCCTTAAATATACCTTAGGAATGGTATAACATAAAATTTTAGCGGTTTGAAAACCTTTACTATTCCAAACCCGGGTAAACCTTGAAACCGGTTTTCATTTCATGTCTGGTCTGTAGTTATTATTATAATTAGCTACTTTCAGCCCTATCATGTCAGTGATTCCTACACCCACTAAGACAACATGGAAAACATGCAAATCATGTCAACACTTTAAGACAGGGTGATTACAAAGCAGCATTGGCTACTTAAAGGGATAGTTCACCCAAAAATGGAAATCTGCTGTTAGTATACTCATCCGTACTGGAAAGATTTTTTAGCTGAAACTGTAGACCGTGGTAATTGTTACAATGCAAGTCATAGGCTAAAAGCACTTTTAGAGTTAACAAAAAAAAACATATAAAGGCATAACAAAATTAATACATGTGGCTCCTGCTGATGCACCAAGCTCTTATGAAACTAAATGTTAAGTCTGTGAAAGTAACTGTACTTTATTTACAACATTATTACCTTTATTGACACATATAATGATATATGGAGGGACACTTTCTGTTTTCGTGATGGGAGAAATTAAGCTTTTTCATTCATTCAATCATTTTCTTTAGAGCTTAGTCCCTTTATTAATCCAGATTCGCCACAGTGGAATAAATCGCCAACTTATCCAGCATATGTTTTATGCAGTGGATGCCCTTCCAGCTGCAACCCTACACTAAAAAACACCCATACATACACACATTCAAACACATATACTACAGCTAATTTAGCATACCCAATTCACCTAGACCACATGTTTTTGGACAGTTGGGATAACCTAAGTACCCAGAGGAAACCCATGCGAGCACAGGGAGAACATGCAAACTTCTCACAGAAATGCCAACTAACCCAGCCAGGGCACGAACCAGGGACCTTCTTGCTATGAGGCGATTGTGCTACTCTCTGCACCGCCGCGCTGCCACCCTATAAATATTATTCAATGTATAAATTATTTATTTTGTTTTTTTATTTGTTTATTTTACTGTTATAATTTATTTATTTATTTATTTTTCGAAACATTTAAAACATCACATGCTAGAGACACCTGCTGGTCAAAAAAACGAGAATGTAACAAATACACAAGCAAAATATGGATTAAAATGGCAACAGTGAAAGTATAACCTTAGCTAATCATCTAATATCATTAAATATTAAGTGTCTGCATAATATGCATTTTTTTTATATTGTTGGTTCCATTGTGGCCTCTGCTAAACAGGACAATAAGAAACTGTTATCTAATGTTATTTCTTTTTGTTTTACAAATGTCTAGTTTTAAAACACCTCCAAACTCTACAATGTCTACAAACTGATTTGAGATCAGGTAAAAACTATCAAATCTATTCACCACTGGGGCGATCTGAGTATGCCCGCATGATACGTGTGGATTTGATAGCATTACACAGATCACCATTTACTTAAAAGAGTTATTGAGACAGTAATGAAATAATGAAGTTATTCAACCTCAAAGCCACTGATTCAATACCAAAGATTTATAAAGGTTTTGAAGCTTTACAAAGCAGTGCTTTGAACACAGTCATCACTTTTATATTTGCAACTTCTTTAAAGGTAGCAAGCAGGGACAGATTTGACCAATAAGGACGGTAAGTGGCCGCTTGGGGCACCATGACATCTGGGGGCCCCCAATAAATATCTAGAAGTGTAAATTATAGCTATAAACTATATATAACATCGTTTCTCTGTCATATTTTGTTTAGTGAGAGTCAAATAAATAACATTTTTATGTCATTAAATATTATTTAATAAACAATAAAACATAATATTATAATAATAATGTATGGATATGTAATTATAAAATAATAAAATAAAATACCCACTACCCCAATCCTGGAGTGGTCCAGCAGTCAAATTTATTTATACATATATTTATTCTTTTTAGTTGTAAAGTCATTTTAAGAAAACTAATCATTTAAAGTGTAGAGCTTGCATTAAGATAAAACATCAGAGAAAAAAAGACTGAGTGACATAAAAAAACAGCAAACTAAATAAAAATTAAATAAAAGTAGAGGAGTGCATTTCAGGACTTGGGCCCCATGGCTGAAGTTGCTTAGGGCCCCCAAATCACTAAATCCGCCCCTGGTAGCAAGATCCAGGATAAGCGCAAAATACTTTTTGACTATACAACACATGGATCTTTCTTCTTCATTGTAAATTAACATAAATAAATAAACAGCATTAGTCAAAGTTTGGGCCCTATGCTTTAAAGCATAAGTCTCTAATTCGATTCCTGGAGAGCCGCAGCTCTGCGCAGTTTTGCTCCAACCCTAATCAAACACAGCTGATCCAACTAATCAAGGTCTTCAAGACTACTAGAGTCTATTAAGCAGATGAGAGTTGGAGGTGGTTGGAGCTAAACTGTGCGGAGTGGCAGCCCACAAGGAATCGAGTTTGAGACCTATGCTTTAAAGGGATACCAGTAACCATTGACTTCAATAGTACGATAAAAACAAATACTACTGAAGTCAGTGGTTACAAGTTTCCAGCATTCTTCGAAAAATCTTAATTTGCGTTTTAACAGAAGAAATTAAATCAAACCAGTTTGAATGAGTGAAGTGTGAGAAAATAAATAATAATAATAAATAAATTAGGATTTTTGAGTGAACTATTTACAAAATTATGTCGAGTTTCTTTCACAAACGCAATGACTTTTTGACTATACAACAAACGCATCTTTCCTCTGTACACTGTAAATTAACATAAATAAATCAACAGCATTAGTTTAAGTTTGGGACCTATGCTTTAAAGCATTACTCTCAAATTCAATTCCTGGAGAGCCGCAGCTCTGCACAGTTTGGCTGCAACTATCTCCCACTTACACGTGCATAATACATACCTGCCAACACTGGGAGTCTCCCGTATTTCAGACCCATCTTCTTTAACCCTCTCACCCCCCCCCCCCCCTCCCTCCCCATACATCCCCTCACCCCCCAGTCTTTAGCATTTTGGTACAGTCTGTGTAACCCCCAGGTCGCCAACTTTGGTATAGTATGCAATCGCAGCTGCCGCCCCAAAAAACGCTTTATAGTACAGTTACTAACACCACAGTACACAGCACGCGATTCTCAACAGTGTTATTCAGACACCTCACCCCGAACCTAACCCCCCTGGTCTCCTGGATTTTCAGGGACAAGTATTGGCAGGTATGGCATAATAGTGTCTAGTAGTCTTGAACACCTTGATTACTAGTTGGATCAGCTGTGTTTGGTTGGAGCAAGACTGTGCAGAGTTGCGGCCCTCCAGGAATCGAGTTTGAGACCTATGCTTTAATAGGATACCTTTAACCATTGACTTCCACGGTACGAAAAACAAATACTACTGAAGTAAATGGTTACAGATTTCCAGCATTCTTCAAAATATCTTCATTCATGTTTTACAGAAGAAATGAAATCAAACAAGTTTGGAAAAAGTGAAGTGTGAGAAAATTATAATAAATGTAGATTTTTGAGTGAATTACGCACAAAATCATGTCGAGTTAATTCCACTGACTCTTTTGCCTTGTATTAGGCTATCAGCAGCCTCAGGTATTTATTTTATTTTACCTGTTTTCATTCTTTTTTCTATCAGATTACCAGTAGTTGACTAACCAAGCCCTGAAGGTGACTAAATTAGCAACAATTGCTCATTTCGGGGTGAACTGTCCCTTTAATAAAAGCTTTGGGGTTCATCTAAGGGTGGGTTTTCAAAGCCTGACAGCACTAAAGAAATGGCCCCATCTTTATGCGTCAGAGAGCATCTGCTACGCCTTATAAATAATAAGTGAAGAGTCTGCCCAAAATAAATGCTCACAAAAAAACAACCACCACCATATATTCAGCAACTGAGTACAACGGCAGAAGCAACGCACAACATTTAAACTTCCGTAGTTATTAGTGTCACTGTCATCGTAAATATATCGGCAGTATGTTGTTTAAAGATAAACAACCCGTTACCTTTTGGGCACAGAGAAACACACACGATGTTTCGACGACAAGCAATAGCGCTCAATAGTTTCAGAAGCGGCTCTAATTGATATTTTGCTGAAGTCTTCAGCTAAATAAGGCTGTCGCGTCGCCACCACTGTCCTGATGATGTCATATGTTTTCATTCTGCGTCCCATTTTATAACTCCGCGCCATGGTAACCCAGCTTTTCACGCTTAACACAGGGCAATAATAACAAAGCTCGCGTAAAATAAAACAAAATATTAAAGTCTCTGTGCTTGACAGCGTCGTGTTATTTTAGTTCGTGTATAATTTAAAAACACAGGACTCCAATGTGACCTTCGCTGAGGCACATCGGATGCTAGAGCTCTTAAAGCAACTCACGCGTTAATCAGAATATGAAGAACAAATCTAAAAACTAAATAAAAACATGTTGTCCTATGCAGAATGCGATACCTTTCGGTGGAAGTGGATCAGTTGTTGTCCCCACTGCAGGGTTTCTCATTCAGGAGCGCTGCTGTGGTGTCCGCATGTCTCCCGATGGTCCAAGATGATGCTGTTGATGTTGTTGTTGTTGTTTAGAGTCCACTGTTCATATTTCCAACACTCTGATGCTCTTCTCTGCGGATTCGTTTTTTGAATGAGACGATGATGCGGTCACGTACGAGGCGGAGGTCGTTATTAATGTGCGCTCCACGCTCACGAACATTTACATCTGCCCCGTCTTCATTCACAAATATCTCGCACGACACACAAAGCGACCTTATTTTTTAATGCACCAGAATGAATAAATACATAAAATGCAATGCGGTAAAACTAATTAAAACGTAAAAATATGTAAATCAATTCATTTTAGTTGCAATAATTTTAGTTGCAATAATTTATCTCTATATAATGTATGTTCTATAGTCTATAAAAATACGCAGCAATTACAGAAACAACAGAAAATGATTATATTCATTTAAACATAAGCAGTTTAAAACTAAGCGAAAAACATTGACAAATAAAATGAACTAGATAAAAAATAAACAGCATATAAAGAGTAAAATGTAAAAACAAAATACATTAAAATAGGCAATAAAAATACATAAACATTTAGTTAAACTAGATCATGTTTATTTATTCTTTTGATGGATTGTTATAAATTCACAGCGTATTAAAGTGAATGCACTTAATAGTATAGAACATTTCATATAGTGTGTGTAAATACGACGATAATAATAACAATAATAATAATAATAATAATGTAAGGGTCTTGGCTACTAAGGAATTTAATCAATAACACATTACTAAATTTATTTTCATAATTAGTTTTATTTTCGTGCACTTACTGACTCGTTGGCTATAACACCGAGTTATCGCTCAATCTGCTCACTTCTTTGTTTTGATTCTAAGCGTTTTCAACGAAAATATATAGGTTTGCAATGACGACGTTCTCTTCCGCAGACATGACAACCAATCAGGTTGATGATTATTTGTGTCAAACCAATCAGCTGCCGAGAGCGACTGCGCGAAGAGCCAATCAGCGCAGGCTCCGCGTTCCAGACAAACGCAGAGCCCGCGCGCGCGACTCCTCGGTTGTTTTTGATAATGCGCGTTCACAGCAAAGACACGTGCCAGTTCGCACGGCAGCGCGCTCCTGTCCATGCGGTGAAGGTAAACAGCGCGAGGGCCCGGATGTTGGTGTTACAGCAAAGTCCCTGTGTATCCTATAGTTTTTGACTAAATTTATCTTTAAAATAAAGACAAAAACAACGTCGTCAGTTCGAGTGAAGATACAAGCCGAAATTATAATTACGATAAAGGGATTGAATTAAACTGTTAGGCAAAAATGAAAGTTTAGAGCAGGGATGTCCTGGTGGAGCCGGTGTCCTGCAAAGTTGAGTTCGCTTCCAACCCCAATCAGACACACCTGGGCTAGCCAATCAAGCTCTTATCAGGCTTTCTACATCATTGCAGGTGTGTTGGGGCAAGTTGGAGCTAAAATCTGCAGGACACCAGACCTCAAGGACCAAATTGTACACTTAGAGATTGAGAATTAAAGGAATATGATCAGGGTGCGAATCACAGGGGAAGATTGACCCACCAAACCCCCCTTATTAACGCCTGATCCTGAAGGACGTCAGAACGAGATGTATAGAGGGGTCAGCCCTTTAATACTGAGAAATATTTCACTCTGATCTGTAATTTAAATAATAATGTTAATCATTAAAATAATAGATGATATAAATTTACATTTGGCCACCCCTAAAACGGTTTAATCCATTGTGAATGCAAAATCACGCCAGTCTTTTCGAGAAAAAAAGTCTTAAATTGTCAGATCTAGAGATCAATAGACATCGTGTTCACAAAGACTTTGTTTTCTCGTCGAATAGGTGTTTAGATCTACATTTAGCCTGAAGGTAGTCAAATTAGACGCATAGCTTGTAGTTTAACCTACAGTCACATCCGCAATGACAAATCAGAGAATACTGTTGGTCAGCATACAAACGTAAATACGTTTCATTAATAAACTAGACGTAACTACAAATAAATACATAAACCACTGAAGCATGTATTACACAAACTAACCAAAACAATTGACCACCCCATAGTGGTAAAAAACCCTGAAAACGATCGGTTCCATCAGCTAAATTATCTCACATTCAACATCATCAGTTCTTTAGAAACTTCAGGGAGAAAGAATGATAATTGTAAGAAAAATGAAAGCGTTTGCTTGTTATACATGTTGTTAGCCCGTGACGCCATCTTGTGTTTTACTGCTGCAATTGCACCAAACGTGAAAAAGATTATTCAATTTAATTTTTTTCGGCTTTGTCCATGTATTAATCAGGTGTCGCCACAGCGGAATGAACTGCCAACTTATTCAGCATGTTTTACGCAGCGGATGCCTTTCCAGCTGCAACCCATTACTGTAAAACAGGATTATTAAGTTAAAAATTATTATTTTTATTTTAAAGCATCTTTGGCAGGAACCATTTTAAGTGATTTTCAGACTTATTAATCCCTCGTGTACATATAAAAAAAACTTGTATTTGTACATACACTTCCGAAATCCAAATATTTATCTTTTTCTGTCATCGCAAAGCCAACATTTATTATTTTAAACATTTATTAATATTATAAAGGCGAATGTAAAATTCTGTTCAACAAGGGACATTTTAAGGCGATTAAAAAACTTTACCACAGATTTACATATTTATTGAGACACAATATACAGTGCTCAGCATAATAGCGTACACCCCATGAATATTTTTAGTCATTTCTCTAATAATAGATAATATATTTTGGTGCATTTGAACTAAACAGATTTAATAAACGAATATATAACATTTTAGTCACTCAAGATCTTTAGAGATTGTTTCTCTTGAACTTTAAACATTTTTATTTGATATTTTCCCCTAACATATACATTTTTAGACCATTAGAAATTATTTTGTTAGATTAGCACCAAATTTTGGCTTCAGCATCTGGCACAGCTATTGTAAAGAATCCTTTACAAAATATTAATTTAAAAGATTTGTGATGGGTGTACATATATGAGCACTGTATACATACACATTTATGTGTTTGTGTTTCCAAAATGAAAAAGAAATCAACATTTTTCCACAGAATGTTTGTCATGATTATTATTTTTAACATGCTTTTCTGGTCAAATTTGTTTATACGAAAACTGTTCCTTAAAAATAAATTAAAATTTAACTACTATAACCAGCCCCCTATACTGCCCACACAGATAGAAGCCCGCTGTCAACATTCATTAGTGTTATGAAAAGAATCTGCAGTATTTATGATAAAGTATTATTTAGCTCTTTTTGTCATTGCAAAGGCTAAATTTATTGTTATAAATATCTATTATTACTATTATAAGAGCAACTGTACAGTTCTGTTCAACCAGGGACATTTCTAAGACAATAAAAAAAAAACTTTACCACAGATTTCCATTTTTATTGAAACACAATTTGCATTCCTCAACATAACAGAGTACAGCCTATTTGGAAATTGAATATTTGTATCCATTTCTCTGTGAATATAGATCATATATTTTGATGCATTTGAACAAAACAGAGGGTGACGCAGTAGGTAGTGCTGTCACCTCACAGCAAGAAGGTTGCTGGTTCGAACCTCGGCTCAGTTGGCGTTTTTGTGTGGAGTTTGCATGTTCTGCCTGCGTTCGCGTGGGTTTTCTCCGGGTGCTCCGGTTTCCCCCACAGTCCAAAGGCATGCTGTACAGGTGAATTGGGTAGGCTAAATTGTCCGTAGTGTATGAGTGTGTTTGGGTGTTTACCAGAGATGGTTTGCGGCTGGAAGGGCAACTGTGGCATAAAAACGTGCTGGATAAGTTGGCGGTTCATTCCGCTGTGGCGATCCCGGATTAATAAAGGGACTAAGCCGACAAGAAAATTAATGAATGAATGAACAAAACAGATTTATTAAACAAATATTTTTATTAAAATAATATTTTAGTCACCGAACATCTTTAGAAATAGAAAATACATTTAAATTGATGTGAATATTTAATATATTTATTTGAAATTTAGTTTTGATTAATATTTTCGTTTCTCTTGTACTTTTAAACCTTTTTATTTAAAATTTTTCCCTAAAACATAAATTAGGGCTACTAAGTTTTGGACCATTAAATTATTTTGTTAGGTTAGTTCCAGATTTTGGCTTCAGCATCTGACTAATCCAATATTGTAAATAATCCTATAGAAAATATTAATTTAAAAGATTTGTGATTGGTACTCGTATATGAGCACTGTATCTATACATTTGTTTTTGTATTTCCAAAATGAAAAAGGCAACAAATTTTATTCTTTCATTCATTTTGTTTTTGGCTTAGTCCCTTTATTAATCTGGGGTCGCCACAGTGGAATGAACCGCCAATTCAGCATGTTTCACGCAGTAGTTGCCTTTCCAGCTGCAACCCATCACTGGGAAACATCCATACACTCTCATTCACGCACACTATACGGACAATTTTGCTTACCCAATTCACCTAGGCTATATATATATATATATGATTTTGGACTAAGGGGGGAAACCGGAGCACCCGGAGGAAACAAGGCAACACATTTACTACAGAATATTAGTCAAGGCTGTTTTCGTCGTGTCAGCTTAGTGTTACATCATTACCCACTGTTATTTTAATCACGATTATTATTTTTAACACGTTTTTCTGAAGTGAAATTTGTTTATTCGAAAACTAGCCCTTAAAAATAAATGAACAAATTTCTAACATCCCCCACCTCCGTATCTGCCCACACGGTTAGAAGCCCGCTGCCATCATTCATTAGTGTTATGGAAAGAATAATGTGCAGTATTTATGGTGAAGTGTTATATAATAATGTATGCCACGTTCTCGCGGCAGAACATTTATTCACAGCGCTATTCGTCTGGTTAATTTTTTTGAACGTCTTGAATAATTCTCATCAAGCCACCGGTTGTCATGGACGGCAGGAACCAAATCAGGCTCGTGCTTGTTTTATTATTATTACATCATCAGCGCACTTTACCTTTTCTTATTCACTCAATCAGGAGCGCGCAGAGGAGCACTTCTGTTGCCGTGACAACCAAGACAACACAATAGCCAGAGGCGCCCCCAAGGGGTGGCCAGGGGTGGCCACGGCCACCCCTCGGTAAACTCTGGCCACCCCTGTGGCCACCCCTTTGGCCACCCCAATTTTGCTGTTGACATTATGTTCTTATAAATCCACAACATTTAAATAAATAAAATGCAGCCACTAAATTATTGTTGGTGTTACTGACGTAGCTGATTCATTGTCTCTCTCCCTTAGTGCTGGTTCAATGCTGAGTGCTGGTGAAAGCAAACTGACGCATGCGTGCAGAAAACCATTCCCGCGCGCCTCACACACTCCCGTGTGAATTCCGGTTGGTTGTTTGCATGCACGCCGACAAAATACAGTACGCGCCGCTCATGCGCCATGAAAATGGAGTAATAGCCTTTTGTGCAGAGGTGA